TTTTGGTGGAATGATAAGGTCAGAACCAGAGTGTGAGAGGTTAAGAAGAGAGTGAGAGGAGAGAAAGTGGAGGTACCTAGTGTAGATGCCTTTTAAAGGAGTTTAGCTGTGAAGGGCAGAAGAAATATAGGGTGACAGCAGGGATCAAGGGAAGGTTTTTTCAGGATGGAGGAGACATGGGCATGTTGAGGCAATAAGCCAGTAGAGAGAGAGAGAGATTGAAGCGAAGTGAAACAGGAATGATAGAGGGGGCAGTCTCCTGAAGGAGACGGGTTGAAATGGGATCACTTTGTGCTAGAGGGGTTAACCTTGGTAAAGAATAAGGCCACTTCCAAAGAATTGGAAATTGAGAGGATGCCCATCAATTGGGGAATGGCTGAGCAAGTTGTGTGAGCAACTCGGTTACCAATCTGCTACAATCTCTTACTGATTCTTTGATTTTTACAACATTCAGTTCAGTCTTTTAGCAATTAAATCCATAACCCAAAAGAATTCAAGAAGAGTTCACATTTGTAACAATATGTTAAAAACAAGGAATAATCAAGTTAATCAATGGCAGGCACTTAAAACACATCAAAAATCATATAACTGGGGTAACTAAGCAAACTAACAAATTTCCTGACTCATATAGCATCAAGCTTGCAAGTTGTATAATGGAACACTATTGTGCTATAAGAAATGATGAACAGGCTGACTTCAGAAAAACCTGGAAAGACTTGTATGGTCTGATGCTCAGTGAAGTGAACAGAACCAAGAGAATGTTGTACACAGTAACGGCCATGTTGGGCGATGACTAATATTGATAAACTTAACCCTTCCCGGCAATACAAAGATCTAAGACATCTCCAAAGGCCTCGTGATGGAAAATGCTATTCACATCCAAAGAAAGAACTAGGGAATTTGAATTGCTATTTTTTTTCTCTTCTGTTGAGTTTTGTTTCCTCTTTCTGGTGGTTCCTCCTATTGGTTCTAATTTTTACTTACAACATCATTAATGTGAAAATATATTTCATAAGAATGTATATGTATAGCCTATATCAGATTGTGTGCTGTCTTGGGGAGGGTGGTGGGGAGGAAGGGGGAGAAAAATTTTAAACTCAAAAGCATATGGAAGTGATTGTTGATAAATCAAAATAAATTAATAAAAATTTTTGAAAAAGAGTAAGGCCACTTTGTCATGTGACACAGGGAGGGAAGGAGTTGATAGTGGCAGATGGCACCTGAGTGATAGGAGATGAAGAAAAGGGGAGAAAAGGGAATGTATGGAATGGCCTCAATTTTTTCAATAAAATAGGAGGCAAGGGTCAGCTGAGAGGGTTGGGGGAAGGGAAAGCCATGAAGGGTCTCAGGAGAAATGAGAAGGTTTGGAAGAGCCAAATGTGAGATAAGGAACAAAGTATTTCTGGAAAATGTGAGAGAGACTTGTCCCCTGGGGGCAACACAGAAGGCTTCCTTGGAGGAGGCAAAAATCAGAAGCAAAACATTTTTGAGGATGGACAAGGAGAAAGGAAAGAGAGTAGGATAAAGGGGTTAGGGGACAGGGAGATAGGATGGAGAGAAATACATACTAACCATAATTGTGAAAAAAATTTTACAGCAAGTTTCTCTGATAAAGACCCCATTTCTCAAATATACAGAGAACTGAGTCAAATTTATGGAAATAAGAGCCATTCCTCAATTGATAAATGGTCAAAGGATATGAACAGGCAGTTTTCAGATGAAGTAATCAGTTATATATGGTCATGAAAAAATGCTCTAAATCACCATTGATTAGAGAAATGCAAATTAAAACAACTCTGAGGTACCACATCCCACCTATCAGATTGGATAATATGACAGAAAGGAAATTGACAAACGTTGGCAGGCAGGGCTGTGGGAAAATTGAGACACTAATGCATTGTTGATGAAGTAGTATACTGATTCCACCATTCTGTAGATCAGTTTGGAACTATGCCCAAAGGGCTATAAAACCGTGCATACCCTTTGACCTAGCAAAATCACTACTAGGTCTGTATCCCAAAGAGATTAAAAAAAGAAAAAAGAAAAAGACCTTTGTACAAAAATATTTATAGCAGCCTCTTTTAGTGGTGACAAAGAATTGGAAGTTGCGGGGCTGTCCATCAGTCGGGGAATGGCCAGGCAAGTTGTGGTATATGATATGAAGGAATATTATTTTGCTATAAGAAATGATGAGTAGGATGCTCTGAGAAAAACCTGGGTAGACTTACATAAACTGATGCAAAGTGAAATGAGCAGAACCAGGGGAACACTGGATACAGTAACAGCAATATTGTAACAATGATCAACTGTGAATGTCTTTGCTGTTCTCAGCAATGCAATGATCTGAGACAATTCTGAAGGACTTAAGATGAAAAATGCTCTCCACCTCCAGAGAAAGAACTGATGGAGTCTGAATGCAGATCAAAACATATTTTTCTTTACTTTATTTTTCTTGTTTTTTGTTTATTTGTGTTTTCTTTCACAACATGACCAACACGGAAGTGTTTTGCAAGACTACACAGGTATAACTTGTATCAAATTGTTTGCCTGCTCACTGAGGTGGAGAGGGGAGAGAGGGAAAGAGAATTTGGAACTCAAAAAAAAAATTTTTAAACGTATGTCAAAAATTGTTTTTACATGTAATCAGGGAAAAATAAAATATTAAATTTGTTTACAAAGAAAGAAAACTGCCCTCCAGTTCTCTCAAGGACCCCACCGGAGCTCAGGCCCCCTTCCCCCTTTCCCGGACGATGCATTGCCTCGAGTTTCTCCTTTCCAATCTATGCCTAGCACAGACGCCTGCCTGAGCACGCCACTCCTCTACTCTAAGACCTGCTGTGGGTCCCCACGCCTGTGAAATGAATCCCATATGGGTCCTCAGGCTTTCACATGCGGACTGTCTTCTGTCATCTCTCCAGCCTAGGAGCCCCCTGCCCTCCTTCACACTGGTCCTGCATCCACCCCACCCCTCGGTCGGTCTTCCCTACTTGCCCTTTCTCCAGGGTGGGAGCCTCCAGGCAGCCTTCCTTGCTACGCACTCCCGCCCTCCTCCCATTTCCTAGTACCCTTTGCCCTCCCCCTGGCCTCTGTGTCCCAGTCATTTGTGCTTGTCATTCCCCTTCCCAACCCCATTAGATTCTAAAATCTTTGTGGGCGGAGTTGTCGACTTCATCTTTAGGTCCTGGGGTAATGAACAGGGGTGTGTCAGGAGAGCCAGATTCAAATCCCAGCTCCACCACTTACTGTGTGTAACCTTGGGCAACTTGGTTGACACTCTGGGCCTGTCCCCACATCTCCAAAATGAGATGTTTGGACTAAATGACTTCCAAGTTCCTTTAAGCTCTCAATCTCAGACCCTAGGGTCTTCAGGATAGGGCAGAGCACAGGACCTGTCCATAGGTGACTCTTAGCTGACATCTGTTGAATTTGGTTAAACTCAAGAGGGCCAAGATGAAATGGGAGCGTGTGCCAGGCCTAGGACGAAGGTACAGACACAGGAAATGGCGGAACACCTGGGAGAACAAAGCCTTGGGTGTGCTTGGCAGGTTGAGCAAGGGAAGGAGCACAGAGAGTTAGAAAGGGAAGCTGGAGACCAGCTTGGAAGGCCTTGAATACCAGGATCAGAAGCATGTCTTTGGTGATGGGCCAGAGGAAGCTACAGCAGCCCCGAGGGGAGTGTCGTGGTCAGACCTGCACACCGTTACCAGAGAAGATGACCTGGGTGGCCCAGCGAAGGACAGGTAGGAGAGGGCGGAGGCTGGAGGCAGCTGCATAATTAATCCCTGAGCCTCAATTAGGGAGCTCCTTTGGAAGAAGGCATCTCCCTGGGAGTCACCAAAGGGCTGAGCACAGGGCCTGGCTCTCCTCCCTCCCTGTCCCACCATCGGTACCCAGCACAGGGTTCTTGTCTCCTTCCTCTCTGCGCCCACTCCATGACCCATTCACTTCTCAGCCCAACAGTCCGGCTGCTGGCCTCATCACTCAAATGAAATTATTCCCCTTCAAGTTAGCAAAGGTCTCTTAATTGCAAGACCCAAGGCGTCTGTCCTTGTCCTCCTTAACCTCTCTGCAGCCCCGGACACTGTTGATGCCCCCTTCCTCGGGGACATCGTCTCCTCTCTGGCTTTTCCTGACACCACTCACTTCTGGCTCTGCTACCTGTCTGATCACTCCTCTGTCTCCTTTGCTGGATCCTCGTCCAGCATGTGTGGGAGTGAGCCCACCCCAGTTCTCTGACCTGGGCCTTCTTCTCTTCACTCTCAGGGATCTCAGGAACTTCCTTGGGCTTCACCCATGTGGCAGATGAGTCTTGGTGCCCTGTCTCCAGCCTCACCTCTCTCCTGAGCTCCAGGCACAGCTGTCTCCAACGGGATGTTCCGTAGGCATCTCAAACGCAACGTGTCCAAAACGTTACCCCTCCCCTTCCTCCCCACATTTCTTCTCCACTCATCCCTCTCCTTCACACCCGTGAACACTGACTCTTCCTTCATAAAGCCTCTGGTGTCTGTCCCCCCCTTTCCCAAGCCTGGTACCAGTGACCTCTTTACAGATCTCTCTGCATCCAGCCTCCCCCATCACCAGTCTTTCTTCCACCCACCTACCAAAGCCCGGGCCTGACCACAGCATGGCCCAACCTTAGAAGCACCCTCCTGCCTCTCTAGGACTACATCCAGCCCTTCACACCCTAGCTCCTGGTGCATTTTCCAGGCATCATATGAACACTTTCTCTTCCAAGCAAACTGACTTTCTCATGGTCTTCCACCCAGAGAATGCAGGTGGGGACGGAAGAGGGACTCAGAAGCCTCCCTCATTCCCAGGGCTTTTCTGCAGGGCTCCCTGACCCTCCCAACCAGCCCCTATTGTGCCCAACTCCTTCTTCTTAGCTGAACCCAGGGACCTGGGTTGCAGTACGGGCTGTCCCTCTGGCACGCTGTGTGTCCTTCAGTCCCACTCAGATGCCCTGCTCCCCTTGGCACCCCCTCAATGAGCAGACGCTGACAGCCGGCAGATAGACACATTTATTTCCTTGGCCCCATATCCACTCCCAATTCAGTTCTGAGAAAGGAGACTCACCTCTCCTCTGAGAGCCAGACCTCCCACCCCCCTCCCTGCCCAGCCCCCTGGGCTCCCATCATTCCAAGCCCTGGCTCAGCTAGAACCACTTCTGATCCAGTGACCCTTGGCCTCCTTGGGATCCTCAGGGGCTGCTCCCAGCTGGGAAATCACCTCCAGCCTTCTCTGGAGTCTGCCCAGCCCGGGGGATTGCTCTGGGTCTTCTCGGGGGCCGCTGGTTTGTTCCTGGTCTCCTGCAGGCCCCCCCACCCCCCACCCGGAGCATCACTCTTGGTTTCCCGCAGGCCCAGCCCTAGACAGGTTCATGCTGGCTTGTACTATGCAGGGAACCTGTGGAGGGTTTTCTGCAGGGTCCACATGGGGAAGGCCTGTGCCCTGACCATCACTCTGGCTTTTCCTCCAGGCCTTCTGAGGCTGCCTGGGGAGCATCTGGCCTGGGGGACGGCGCAGGCTCCTCCTCCAGGCCTCCAGGAGCGAGGTCCAGGCTGGGTGACTTCTGCAGGTCTTCCTCAGCACCCCCCTGGGCAGGGTCTGGGCTGGGGGACAGCTCTGGGACCATCGCCTCCAGCCACGGCGGGTCCATGCCAGGGCCTGCGAGGGAGCTAGGAGAATCCGGGGGCGGTGGATGCTTGCGCCGGGCATGTCGCCGCAAGGTATTGCCCTCGGTGAAGCGAAGCCTACAGATGGGGCACTGGTAGGGACGCTCCCCGGAGTGCACGCGGCCGTGGTGGGCCAGCTCCCCAGCTTCACGGAAACGCCGCGGGCAGAGAGCACAGTGGAAGGGCCGTAGCCCGGCATGGATATTTCGGTGCCGCCGCAGGTGGCTAGCCCGTTTGAAGGCCTTGCCACAGGCCGGGCAGGTGTGCGGCTTGAGTTCTGAGTGAGAGATGCGGTGCCGTTCCAGGTCTGAGAAGTAGGGAAAGGCACGAAGGCAGACGGGGCAGAAATGTGGGGCCCGCCGGGCCCGGGACCCCCCGCCCTCCTCACCTGCCTGGGGCACAGTGTACGGGACACCCTGGGCATCGATCAACAGGACGCCGCCACCATCCTCAGCCTCCGCCCCGTCGGGCGGCCCAGGGGCCTCTGGGGGTTCCCCTGGCGTAGAGCCTCGGGGCCTGCCGCCCCGTTTGCGGGTGGAAGGGGAGAACGTCTGGCTGGAGGAGGAGTCAGCAGATGAGTCAGCCCGCCCCGCAGGGGGGCGGCGGCGACGGAGGCGCACGCCGGGGGTATCGGGTGGCGGGTTGGAGGGCTCTGCCTCCTTGGCTGCTGGCTCTGGGCTGGAAGGGTCCATCGGGTGCTGGGGATTTGGGGCCCGTCCACAGGACCTAGGCTGGTGAAGGGAGAAAGGAGGCAGTAGTCAGAGTTAGACGGAGGGCAGCAGAGAGACTGATGTGGGGAAAGGGGCCCCAGAATGGGGAGGCAGGAGATCTGGGTCCCAGCGCTGGTCCTGACCAGCTGAGAGGCTTCAGACAGGCCTTTCCCTTCTCTGTTAGCTAATGGAGCAGCATTTTGAGGCTTCCAAGTTCTCGCCAGGCAGTTATCTTCACCAAATGCTTCACAATCATGAGGGAGGCTCTACAGATGAGGAAACTGAGGCACATAGGAGCTAATTGATTTGTGTGTGCTCATGCAGGGGAAGTCAGAAAGCTGGGGCCAGGCTGGAAAAGAAGAGGTCCAGGTGGGAGTCAGACTGGGAAGGCAACAATTTGGAGAGAAGGTTCTAGAGTAGAGAGTAGAACATGAGCATGGGGGTCTAGATTTGGAGAAGGAGTCAAATGATGGGGAGAAGGGGTTACACTGTGAGAGACAGGGCCAGACCAGAGAGGAGAGAAAAGGGACCCGAGGGGAAGGTGAAGGAGTCAGAGTGGGGAAAAAAGCCTAGGCTGCTAGAGAAATGACCCGACTGGAGGAAGAACGAATGATAAAGAGGGGAGAAGGGGCAGCTAGGCAGCACAGCGCATAGAGCACCAGCCCTGGAGTCAGGAGGACCTGAGTTCAAATCCAGCCTCAGACACTTACTAGCTGTGTGACCCTGGCCAAGTCACTTAACCCCGACTGAGTCCAAAAAAAGAGAGAGAGAGAATAAGATTAGGGGAGAAGAGATGATATAGGGTGAAGAAGAAGGTAACCAGTTTGGGGGGAGAAAAGACCAGATGAAAAGAAGAGGCCAAACTGCTGCAGTCTAGGGGCCATTTCAAGGTGAGAAAAAACCAAACCATTTTGGGGAGAAGGGATCAGATGGCAGTGGGAAAGAGGCCAGACTGGGGGAGGGGAGGGAACTATTCTCTGCTGGCAGGAGCTCACAGGTCTGATGCTATTTGGAGAAGCGACCCAGAAAGCGGCTGGAACCGAAGACCACCAGGGCATGGGGGTGTGGGCCTGCCTACCATCCACAGACTGCAATCTGGAGTCACAAAAAGCTCAGGAAATGTCTGAGCTTTCGACTGTGGCTTGGACAGAGACGTGGCAGGCAGAGATGGAGAAGACTTGGGCCTAAATGTCCTCACTTGCACAGTCGTGAGAAATCAAACAAAGGCAGCTCCCCCCTGACCACGGAGTCACTGCCCTCGAGGCAGCCAGCTGGGCACCCCAGAGAGCCAGAGGCCCAGAAGGCAACCCGGGCTCAAAGCCACGGCTTCAGGTATCTCTGCCACAACACGGGCAGTAGAGAGGAGGCCGAACGTGGAAGTCAAATTTGACTTCCTAGGGATCTAGGACACTCGGTGGGAGCAAATCCAAACCTGGACCATGGTTCTGCATGGCTACACCTTAGTCAAAGACAAATAAAGGAGGCTGGGAAAAGATTTGCACATTAAGAGGATAGATCGATGCCCTGGAGGCAGGAAGAAATCTGGCCTCGGACACTTCCCAGCTGGGTGACCTTGGACAAGTCACTTAATCACTGCCTGCCTCAGTTTCCTCAACTGTAAAATGGGGATCATAATGGCACCTCCCTCCCAGGGTTAAAAGGATCAAATGGGTTGGTGTTTGTAAAGGGCTTAGTGGAGTGTCTTTCATGCACTGGAGGCACCTAATAAATGCTTATTCCAATCTTCCCCTAAGAGAACAGACTCATGTGAGACAACAGGGTTGAGAAGGGAAGGATAGCGGGAGTGCTGATGTGGAGATCCGCGGAGCCCAGAAAAGAGATCCCAGACGCAGGACTGGCAGGGAGGGGACTGCTCCTCTCACACTCTCTCTGCCAAAGGAAGAACAGCTCATAACTTGCCTCAGTGATCATTTCCTTTTTCAAAAGGCAGGAGAACCAACGGAGAAAGAAAAGGGCTACCTGAAGAGACTGTGGACACACAGGGGCTCACCGACCAAACTGGACTTTAAATAGAACCTTAAGAAGGCAACCGAGGACAAAAACACAAGTGTAAAAGAAAGGGGATAAAACATTGTAAGAAAACAGAACAGAGCAACTTTGTTGCTACGGTACTATATTTAACACACACTTAAAAAGAACCCTCTACATCACCCCTGTTCTCAAGTTTACGGAACAGCTTCTTTTTCTGTTATTTGTATACTGACACGACTATTTTTTTTTTTTGGTGATTCAAAGTTTCCTAATGAAAAATGAGAAATAATTGACTGATAATAACATCAGAAGTGCTAAAACTCAGAGTAAGGATGGCAAAAAAAGCTAAGGACAACAAAAACTTGCTTTGGGGTTTTTTAAAAGTTATTTTGAATAAAGAAGGAGAACTGAGACAAGGCAGGACCACTTCTCTGGGTGGATGGGACCAAGATAAGTAACATTAAGGAGAAGGTACAGCTGCGTGATACTTTTTAAAATTTTCTGTTTTTATTTTCCCTGCAAAAGAAAATGACCTTGGCTCTGGGAAGGCCAGAACAGAAACAGCAAATTGGGAGTGCGCACTCGACCCAGGTAAGGTGACAGTTCGAAAGCTCCTGGCTTTCCAGCCCCCTGCCACTGATGACCATCACCCAGAGATCCTGAAAGAATTGGCAGATGGCATTGCCCAGCCACTGTCAGTGATCTCCGAAAGACCAAGGAGGACTGGAAAAGAACCCAAGATTGGAGGAGGACCAACGTCATAGCCCCAGGCAGCGTGACTTTGTTTCCCAGGAATATCGTAGCACGCATCATTAAAGGGATGGCAGATGACCGTCTACAAGAGGAAACAGCGATTCCAAAGAACCAGCACGTTCTCAGAAACAGGTGATGTCGGGTAACCTCATTTCCAATTTGGACAGGAATGCTAAATGAAGAGCTCGGGCTGAACTCTGCTGCTTATCTAGATTTTAATGAACCATTTGTTAAAGTCCCTCTTTCCATTCCCTAGGACAAGGTAGAGGGATAAGGGCTGGGGGATAGGATAATCAGAGAATGGCCAGAGCCTTTCCCCTGGAGGGCCTCTAAAGGCCCCTGGTCCCCGGGGCTGGACAGCTGGAGCCATCACTAGCAACCCCACCAGCTAACAGAAAGCTGGGTAGGATGTCAACAGCTCGGGACCCAAAAAGGCCAAAGCCTTGGGCTGAGAACTCCACCAGCAATGAATGGTAAGCTTTGGATCTGGAGGGCAAACATCAACTGCACAAATACGAGGTGGGCGCTGGGGGAAGCTAGTTGAAAAGAGATCTGGGGGTCTGAGTGGGCCGCTGACAGACAGCACTCCCCGGACAAGGAGGTGGGAGCAGTGCCTCTCCGGGCCCTTCTCTGGAACTGCCTGCTCTGGGAGGCCCCAGGAGGCCTGGGCATTGGTCAGAGGAGGGCACCTGGGAGGGGGAAGGCCCTGCACACTGGGGGACGGTCGGGCCACACTGGCGGGGGGGCAGGCCGGGGGGGCGGGGGGGGCGGGGGGGGGGCGTGGCCCATTGGGGAGAGGGCACCCCTGCAGGGGGTGGGGGCCAGGTGAGCACAGCTGGAAGGGGCTCCGAGATCCCGCGTACTGGGGCCGAGGGCAGTTCTCCCGCACTGCCGGGTGAGCCCACCCCACCCCGGCTCCCGGCAGGCTGGGGGGGAGGGGAAGGGGCAGAAGAGCGCGCGCCCGCGCGCGCGCGGGTACTTCGTTTCCTCGGGGCAGGGGCGTGGCGTGGCAGTGCGCACGCGCAGCAGGACCCCACGGGCCCGCGGGGAGGGCGGGGTTTGGCCCAGGCGCGCGCGCGCTGGGGCGGAAGGGGCGGGGCGCGGGGAAGTAAGCCAATGACTTTCCCCGGGGCGGCCGGGCGCGGGGGTGGGGGGGAAGCGGCGGGGGCGCGCAGACGGGGGGGGGGGCCCGCGGGGAGCGCGCGGGCGGCTGCTAGGGGGCGGGGGTCGCGTGCAGCGGGCGGCCGAGCCCTCCCTCCCTCCTCTCCCCTCCCCCTCTTTCCCTCTCTCCCTCGGCCTTCCTTCCCCGCCCGCCGCCCCCTCCCCGCCCGGGTACCTCATTTGCATGTCGCTTAGGGGTGCGCGCGGGGGGCGGCGGGGAGGGCGGGAGGGCGGGCGCGTGGGCCAGGGCCCGGGGAGGGCGGGGCGGGGCCGGGGGAGGGGGCGGAGGCGGAGGCGGCCGCGTGACGACGCCGGCTCCGCCCCCCTCTCGCCCTCCCCGCGCGCGGGCTACAAAGGCGGAGGGAGGCCCTGACGTAGCCCGCGCGGTCTTAGCGCTCGTCTCTCTCTCTCGCTCTTCGGGGCTTGGGGGGCGCCTGCGCGCTGGTTTCACCGCCCCTCTTGCCAGCCTATTCGGCGCCACGTGACTGTCGGAGGGCCGCGTGCCCGTTGTAAAGGTGGAGAGGTTGAGGCCCAGAGAGGGTCCTTTTGCTGTCTAACACTTAACACAACCAATGGGGGCGGTCCCCGAGTGGGAGCTGGACGACTCTCAGAAAGCGCTCAGTGCCCGGGCGAGCCCGACACCTACGAAATAGCGCTTAGAGATCTTGAGCTGAGGCCACCCGGGGGAGTTGCCGAGATCTCGGACTTGCCCCTTGGGGAAGGGTGCTCGGAGATCCTCGGGTGCTGCTGCACCCACTTGACAGGGAAACTGAGGGTCCTCCAAGCTGCGGGTGGGGGAAGGGGGGGCTCTACAAGAGGGCTCAAGGAACAGCCGAAGGCCAGAAAGGGCTACAGCCCTGACCAAGGTCACACAGCACGTTGGGGCACGCGCCCTCCCGCCCGCGGCTCCTGACGTCATCGCAGCCCAGGCTCCTGAGCCCGACCGGAAGTGATGGCATCGGATTGGCTTTGGGCCTGGGAAAACCTGAGGCTCCCAAGATGGCACCCACTCTGACTTCACTGCCCGCAGCCCAAATGGCGCCCGCCGAGCTCTCAGCTCCTTGAGTCCAGCGAGGCCGCGAGGGGGGATGCTCCAGATGCTTCTGCCCTTAGCTAAGATGGCGCCGAGGCCCCGCCCCATCGCCCATGCCCGCCCTCGTTAAAGACGGCTCCCAATCCTACTCCGCGTCTGTGCAGGCGCAACGTCTGGGGGGGGCAGGGAAGGAAAGGGGACCCGGAAGTGGAGGGGCCCCCCCGGGTGGAAGTGACGCCACCCCCGCGGCCCAAAATGTCGGCGCCCAGAGGGAGGTGTAAGTAATTAAAGGAGAGAGGGGCACGGCGCGGTCCGCGACCCCCCTGGAGCCCGGATGCCCTGGGACTCGGCCCCCTCCCGCGCCCCCCCGTCCCGAGGAGCCCGATGGTTCGGCCCGGGCTGGCCCAACCGGGCCGCCCGGCCGCGGGGCCGCGGGGCTGCGTGGATGGGACCATTCATGGCCCGGCTTGGGGGGGGGAGGTGGAGAGGGGGCCTGAGAGGGACACAAAAGACGTGGGGGAGGGGGACCTTCGGGAGGGCCGCGAGGGGGCGGGGCTTGGGGGAGGGGGGCTCCAACTCCTAGGTGGGGGCTTTGTGGGGGAGGGGAGGAGCTCGAAAAGGGGGAGGGGGTCTCACAGAGAAGAAGGGGTGGGGCTTAGGGGGTGGGGAGGCCTTCGGAAGTGGGTGGGGCTAAAGGGGAAAGAGGATCTTAGATGAGAGGGGAGGAACTTAGGGAGAAAGGGGGCCTCTCAGGGGAGTGGGAGTAGCTTAGAGGAGAGAGGAGGGGCTTAGATGGGGAAGAGGTGGGACTTAGGGAGGCTGAGTAGCCTGGAAGTAGGTGGGGTTAAAGAGGAGGTCCCTGAGAGGGGTGGGGCTTGGAAGTTTTGGGGGGCATCTCATAGAGGAGAATGGGAGGTCCTTATAGAAGGGGTGGGGCTTAGAGGAGGGGATAGGGCTTGACTAGGAGAGGGGAGGGGCTTGGGCTTTTTGGGGGGGGTCTCATAGAGGGGAGTGGAGGTCCTTAGCCCTCAGAAGGGGGGATGGAACCCCAGCCCAGAACCCTGTGAGCTAGAAGCCATCTCTTCTCTCCTTCCCCAGAGATGCCCCAGGCAGGGCACGTGTGGACCCACAGCCATGGAGGACAGCGGTGTGGACGGTCCTCTCCCTGCGGCCGGCCCGGCCCCGGCACCGACCCCTCCGGTGGCCCCCCGGGTGCCCTTCCACTGCAGCGAGTGCGGGAAGAGCTTCCGCTACCGCTCGGACCTACGGCGCCACTTTGCCCGCCACACGGCTCTCAAGCCCCACGCGTGCCCCCGCTGTGGCAAGGGCTTCAAGCACAGCTTCAACCTGGCCAACCACCTTCGCTCGCACACGGGGGAGCGGCCCTACCGCTGTTCCGCCTGCCCCAAGGGCTTCCGCGACTCCACGGGCCTCCTCCACCACCAGGTCAGGAGCTGGCCTCCCCTCCCCAGCGCTTTGGGCCAGTCCTTTCCCTCTTTCCCAGCAGTTGAGTAACAGGGGTCCTTGGGAGCAGGGCCTTGTTCAGGGCTAACGGCTGTGATTCTTTTCTCTTGCCCTCTTTTCCAGGTGGTCCACACAGGTGAAAAGCCTTACTGCTGCCTGATCTGTGAGCTGCGCTTCTCCTCCCGATCCAGCCTGGGCCGTCACCTGAAACGACAGCACCGGGGGATGGCCCCGCCGACCCCCGCAGGCTTGGGCCCGTCCGGCTTGGTGCCGGGCCTCCTTCCTACCCTGGGGCCCCCTGGTAGCCTCTCAGTCCCAGGTCCGTCCTGTAGCGCCTGCTCTGATGAGGGCCCCTGCATGGCCTGTGGGGGTGGCCCAGAGCCCCCCGGTCCTGGGCCAGGGCCCTGGGTGGGCGGCTGGGGGACTGGCGGGACAGGCCCCTTTGTCTGTGGGGCCTGTGGCCGCTGCTTCCTGGCAGGAGCTGAGCTGGCCTCCCATTGGGCTGCCCACACAGATGTGAAACCCTTCAAGTGCCCACGTTGTGAGCGCGACTTTAATGCCCCAGCCCTGTTGGAGCGCCACAAGCTCACCCATGATCTCCAGGGCTCCTGGCCTGGGCCTGAGGGCAGGGAGGCGGGGCTGGAAGTTCCTGAGGGGCCCCAGGAGCTCCCCTCCGAGGGGCCCCAGGTGTTTCCCTCTGAGGATTTACAGGAGTTCCCTGAAGAGGGGCCCCAGGAGTTTCCCTCCGAAGGGTCCCACGAGTTCCTTTCGGAGGAGCCCCAGGAGTTCCCCGAAGAGGATCTCAATGAGTTCCACCCTGGGGGGCCCCAGGAGTTCCCTCTGGAGGTGCCCCCAGAGGGGCCCCAGGAGGACCCTGTGGAGATACCAGAGGAAGTATCCCAGGAGTTAGCCGGGGAGGTGCCCATAGAGGTATGCCAGGAGTTACCTATGCAGGTACCTGGGGAGGAGGCCCAGGAGGGGCCCTCTGATCCAGACGTGGAGGCCCCGTTCCCCGTGACCGCTGAGCTGGGCGAGGCCTCCGAGGAGACCCTGTACCAGTGCGACTGCGGGACCTTCTTCGCCTCGGCGGCAGCCCTGGCCGCCCACCTGGATGCCCACTCGGGCCCAGCGTCCTGCGTCTGTGGGGTGTGCGGGGCGGTCTATGGGGCGGTAGCGGCCCTGGAGGAGCACCACCACGGGAGCCACGGGGCTGGGCCTTCTCCAGGGGGGCCCCCGGCCGGCTCTGGCCGTACCCCAGCAGCTCTGGCGGCGGCGGCCGCTGGGAAGAAGGTTTTCAGCTGCTCCGAGTGCGAGAAGCTCTTCCGTTCCCCGAGGGACCTGGAGAGGCATGTGCTGGTCCACACCGGGGAGAAGCCCTTCCCGTGCCTGGAGTGCGGCAAGTTCTTCCGGCATGAGTGCTACCTCAAGCGTCACCGGCTGCTGCACGGGCCCGAGCGGCCCTTCCCCTGCCACGTCTGCGGCAAGGGCTTCATCACTCTCAGCAACCTCTCCCGTCACCTGAAACTGCACCGAGGGATGGACTGAGCAGCCCCCTGTCCTGGAGAGCCTCCTGGCCTGAGTGGGACCAAGGGAACCTTGGAATTGGAGGGGGAGAGGAGAGGGCTTCTGGTCTGGAGGGACCCCCCAACGTGAGGGCCGGGGGAGGGAAACTGAGAGCTGGGGAAGCCTTGGGACCCAGCCCTGGGTCAGGGAAGACCCCAAGGCCCCTGGCCCCTGGCAGAGCCTCCTGTCCTGAGAGAGCCTTGGAACACATCCACCTGGCTCTGGACCTCGCCTTCTTCACTCTCCAGGAAGGGCCCTCCCACCCAAGCCAATCCCCGAAGGAAGGAGGATGGCACAGGGACCCCAGAGAAGGGGCTGAGCCTGGTGCCCCTGCCTGCCCCCACCTCTGCCCTCAGAGCTGCTGTGGGCTGTGCTCTCTGACACCCCCTCATGCAAGGCGGACTGCTCTGAATGGACAGAACCAGTCCGGATAAGGCTTTCACCTCATTCCCCCTTCTCCCATGGACCAGTCTAGAGGCTGTCAACCTTACCCCCTTAGAATGAATTAACCAAGTTTGTCCTTTATGTAGAATGTGGACTGGTTCCCAACCCCGCTGCCCTCCCCCTTTCCCCATGCCTCCCCCTCTGTCCTTCCCACAAGGAATGGGCTTCCTTCCAGCCTGGGAATATCCCCTGTGTCCTCTGTGGGTTTTGGGTCTCTCTCTGTCTCTCCCGTTTGTGTCTGTCTCTGTGTCCCCCCCCCCCCACAGGCCGGTCCCCGAGGACAGGGGTGACTCATCTGGAGGTCCTCCTGTGTGAGCATCTGCTTGCCTCCTCTCCTTCCCCACGTCCTCAGGACCCTTAATAAACTGGCCTGACACTTACTCTGGCTTGCTTTGGTCTGTTGGGAGGGGCTGCTTCATAGAGACAGGGAGCCTGACCCTAATGGCGGCAGCAGCAGGCCGCCACGGTCTCCCGCAATGTCACTCGGAAGTGCTCCAGGCGTTGGTATCCGCATTTCCCTACTGTCCCCCAGCTCGTGACTCGAGGAGGCTAGATTCGAACTTCTTGCCCTCAGGGAGCGTATGCTCCAGTGAGGCAGGTAGTAGGGGGAAGGTGGAGGCCTTGGGTTCTTTTCCTACCTGCTCTCTGTACTCCCCATGTGACCTTGAGCCCCTCACTCACCCTCCTTGGGCCTCAGTTTCCTCCTCTGTAAGGAGAGGTGGAAGTATGTGACTTTGACTATTGAAACAGGGGAAAGAGTCCTTCATCTGGAGTTCGGGTGTGAGTGCCCGTTACGGGGCTTAAAGCTTGTGTGTCCACTGGTAAACTTACTAGCCTCAGCTTCCCCGTCTGAAGATCCTTCTGGACAATAGTGACCTGGCCCATGGAGCTGTCCTGCTCCACTCAGAGACACGAGTTGCCCTAGATACCAGGACAGAGTGGTTGCGAGGAGGTACATTTCAGCTGGGTCAAGAAAGCCTTCCTAGCCTGGCTGTCCCAAAGTGGACTGAGCTGCTTGGGGAGGTATCGAGCTCCCCTCAAGTCAAGTTAATAAGCATCTATTAAATGCCTGCTATGCCAGGCACTAGGTCAAGTAATGGGGATGCAGAGAAAGGCCAAAGATGGCTGCTGTCCTTTCAGAGCTCACGATCTGCACGAGACAGTCGCCAGAAGGCACCAGAACGGAGATTGGGAAAGGTTTCCTGGAGAAGGTAGGGTTTTAGCTGGGATTTGAAATGAGAGCCTGAAAGTAGAGATGAGGAGGAAGAGTGTTTCAGGCAAGGGAGACAGCCTCAGGGATAGAGGGTCTTGGGTTGAAACGTCCTTGGGGAAGGGGATGCAGTGTGTCAGATGACTGGAGAAGTAGGGGGAGGCTAAGTGGTAAAGGCTTTGGAATGCCAGGCACAGGATCTGCAGTTTCATGTTGGAGGTGGGGGAAGGGAGGTGGCCTGGTTATACCTTTAGGAAAATCCCTTTAATCACGGAATGGAGGATGCTGATGAGAGATGAGGCAGGCAGTGCCCACCGCAGGCTATGGTGATAGTCCAGGCAGGGGCTGACGTGGGCCTGCACTTGGGAGGGGGCAGGGTTAGAGGAGACATGCTGCAGAGGGGAAATAGGCAGGCCTCGGCACCATACTGGAGATGGGGGGGGGGTGGCAAAGAGTGAGGAGTCCAGGATGATCGGGGGGTTATAAGCCTCGAGGTTGGTGGTGTCCTCAACAGTAATAGGGATGTGGGGAGTTCATGGACATTCAGTTGAGATGTCTAGTGGGCAGCTGGAGATTTGACAGCAGAAGTCATCAAAAGAGGTTGGGGCAGATATATTCGAGAATTATAGACATGATCATTAAATGCATGGACGTTGATGAGATCACCAAGTGAAGTGGTCTAGGAGAAGAGGGCCCAGGACAGAGCCCTGTGGGACAGTGGTGTTCACAGGTACGAGCCGGCTGAAGGTCCAGCAGAGCAGATGAGAAGGAGCGAACCTAGGCAAGAGGAGAGAGATGAGAGGATCACCGAGAGCGAGGACTGAGAAAAGAACACGACTTTGGCCATTAGGAGATCGTTGGTCAAGAGGGGCGAAGAGGCCACGTGCAAACACCTGCCTACATACAAGATGGACGCGGGACGGATCGGGGGCAGTCTCCGAGCACCGGGAAAGGCTCCCTGCGGAAGGCGGGGCTGTAGCTGGGCCTCGGAGGGAGCCGGGGGGCGGGGAGGACGAGGGAGAAGGCTGGGCATGGGGGGCGGCATTCATTGGGAGCAGAAGTGAAAAGGAAGGGACAGATGCGAGGGAGACCGTGGGGGCAGAACTGCTAGGACTTGGCCATGAATGGCCGGGGGGGGGGGGGTGGGGGGGGCAAGGGACAAAGGGCCCTCTGAGCTCCTAAGCCGGATTGCCTGGGTGCATGGCGGTGCCATCCGCAGCGGGGAGCGGGGGGCCGGGCGGCAGCCCGAGAAGCTGCCCCGCGCGCGACTGGACATGGGGGGGAGGCGGGGAGCCCGCAGCTCTGCGTTCCAGGTTCCATGCACTGGCTTTTGGAGGGAGGCCGGGAGCGGCTCATCCCCGGAGGTCCTCCAGGGAAGGTGCGGCCGCTCTGGGCCCGCACGTTGCCCAGGGCATGGGTGCTATCAGCGAGGGACTCGAGATGCTGCTTCGGAAAACAGGACCCAGCCCCACCCCCAACGCCTGAGAGACAGGCCCCGCCCCTTGGAGACCAGACCCGCCCGCCCCAGGGGTGAAGCCATCTTCTCAGAGCCCGAGCGGGGCTTA